GGAGCCGGGGATCGAACCAACCCCCTCTTTCTCTACGCCACAGATGGTGCATTTACAAACCGCACAAATTCTACTCAGTATGCTTTTAAAATCTACATGCTGAGCACATGCTGGTTGGACCTTTCTAAGTGCTTCAGTAGGACGTAATAGTCAAAAACATGTGCTGCACCTAGTGGAGAAGGGTTACTGAAGGGTTAATTATGGGAAACTGAGTCATTAAGGGCAGTTATTATCAGAATTGTCACTTCTCAGTGTTCAGTGTACTGGAAGTCCCGTTTGTCAGTGTAAGCTTACACCCTTGTCACCCGAGTGCAGTGTAATCAAATCAGAACTGTGCGCTCTAATGCTTATGCAACCCACATACGCACAATGAGTGGCATAATCATTTGTACTGTAATTGGTGGAGATTAGCCCTGTAATCATGAGTCTATGACTTTCGAACCCACACCCACCCACACCTTCACCAAACGTGGCGTCAGAGGTACATAAAAGGTCATGAGATCATTAGAATCCCGCCAGAGGCTAAATGTAATCAAAATATTGCATAGTACTTTGTGACTGAAAATGGACAGGATTAAATCTGCTCTTCTAAGTATATGGTGATTTCTAGTCAGGAGGCTGTTAAGATTTGTTGATAGACAAAGGAACAAGTGGACTGATTAATCGGTCAGCCATCATCACCATCCTCATTTTTCTGATGGTAGTGAGCCAAACCAAAACAAAGTCAGTGTTTTTATTTAAAACAGGATCCCTTTGAGAGAACCAGAAAGCGGTTGCACTATAGTTGCCACCTAAATCCATGTTAGTTTGTATAAATTTTTATCAAATTTGCAGTTCTTTATGGATGAAATGTAGTCGTAGTTCTGTGTTCTTCCCTGAAATTGCTACAGTGAGACAGCCGCCCTAACCTGAGATGTTTACATTTGTTTAAAGTCTTCAAACTCTGTGACAGAGACCAAGAAAAGCCTGAGAAACAAAGCACTTCATTTACAGACAGCGAACAACTAAAATGCTCCAGATATGGGAAGAATTTCCTTTCAACATCAACCGTGATAAAAGGCTGCAATCATGGTCTGATTAGTCAGTACAGTTGTGGACAGCAGCAGACAATGTACTGTAACAGACTGGAGATGACTCCTCAAAGAAATATTAGGAAACACACACACATCAATAACACACAGTTTCGCCCACTCATGTCTTAAGCTCAGCTCTTAAACTCATTACACATGTAATGTACAGCTGTTACCAGCAACCCACACACTGTACATGACTTGTTTTTATTGAACCATCAAATGGTAAAACATCCCTGCACTAATTCCCTGTTTACACAATGAGTAATGCTGTGGTATTTTTCTTCTGACTCGATCATTGAGTAATTTCAGCTGAAAATGTAATTAAGTGACAGAGAAGGGACTTTACCCAAAATACAAACTCAGAACAACAGTCTCTGTGTCTTCTACCTGTTTAGAAACCTTAGGTCAAACTGTAGAAACTATTGTATGTGTGGAAATCTTTTCTGACGTAATCAAACGATAAAGGGAGTAAGTAAAGTTCAGTGGTTTTGTGTCTCTGAGCAGCCCCATCTGCTGCAGATTACATTCACAAGCAACTATTTTGCATTAGCAATCTAGATTTTTGAGGGAACCCAGTGCTGGATCAAACTTTTAAATGACCTAATTTGGAAAAAACTAAATGAAAGAGTGATTATATTCCAGGTGAAATTAAAGTGTCCTGTGTCCTATAAAGGTCTACATCAGTTATTACAATTAGTCCCTCTGAAAAGAATTTAGTGAAAGTCTGTTGCCAAATTATTGTGGATTATTAAATTTTGACCCTTGAGTACCCTTTCAGAAATTCATTGTGTTTTCTAGGAACAACTTGGCTCTAGCCTTAATTCCAGTCAGCTGTAAACAATATTGCAGCAGCCTGCTGAGCTGTAGTATTACAAGATGTGCTGAGACAGCTGTGAGTGCTTGAAATCAGTTTCAGTCAAAGTAAGTGCTAGGGTCATTTTGCAGGTTTTAATTTTCCCGCCGAACTTCTCAAAGCATGCTGCATTATTTTAGTTTTTCAATTCAGAATGCTCAGTGTCAGATCAACTTGCAGACTTGTGAAACTTGCTTGAGATGCGTGCACAGTGATATGATGGCCACTGTTTCAGATTTACATACTTTAGGGAAGTCAGTAGAGAACTGCCAGGGAAGGGAAATCACATTCAAAATCTAAAATAAAAGTATAACTGGGCTAAAATTTGCAAAAACACCAGTTGTGTATGATCATTTAGCATTCCTGCTGTGTGACAGAAGAAATGCACAGTCACTCATGAAGTGTTTCCTTTCACACAGTTGGCCCTGACCCAGGATCTGCCTGATGGCTGGTTGCTGCTCTACTGTTTCATTTCTTTGCTGCTGCATGCTTTCGAACATGCTTGTCATTTCTGTAGCAGATGTCCCCTGCATGGACTACAACATGCAAAACACCGGTGCGGTTCCAGTTCAGCACTGAACTTTCCCACTCAAAGACCGCACTGTTCTACAAGTTGAGCCTCCCGTGTTTCCTGGAAGGATGTCCAGTTAGCGTGTTAACATGAAGCCTTTCCGTGCAGTCGCTGTGCGTTATTTACACCAGTGTTTCCCCCATAGAAATATTTGCATGCTTCAAATGAAAACAACTTCTTGTTGTTACCATTAGTCCAGGAATTTCTGTTGTCTACAGACAAGTTCTTACCAACTTCAAAATCAAAGATATCTGTAGCTATGTTTCAAATTTAATGTTCACTCATTTTACTAGATAGCATATAGCAGCAGCCATTCATTTAGTTTGAGTATTGTGCCCATATTTCATATTACATACTAATAGTACAGATGTGTATTATATACAGTACAGTACTTATGGTCATAGGATACATTTTTCAG